AATTACCCAGAAACGCTTGTAATTTACTTGGATCTTCACTTAGTAGCACAATGTTGTCTGTATACTCTAGATTAGACAGCCTACCACCTGGGAGTAAATTCCCGCACAACGATAGGACTGTTTGCATAATCAAATCTATAACAAAGTTAAATGGAAAAACTGAACTCGGGTGAAAAAGTGCCCCAAGCTCGAACTCGACTTCGGCTATTTGTATAAAGGGATTGCATTATTGAAATAAACTTCTCGGACACACCTTTCAGAGAAGGGCAGCGGCAGAGTTTAGAGCGGTCGACTGAGTCGACAGTCGCTTTCAGATCGAGGAAGATTGAGATTGTGGGTCTGCGAAAAGAATGTTCATGTTGCAGAATATGACGAAGAGTGAAGATGTGGTCGATACTACCTCGACAAGGTCTAAAGCCAGCCTGGTTCTCACGCGTGCACCGTTCACGTGCGGCAGACAATCAACGGAGTATGATGCCAGCGAGAAGTTTAGAGACGATGTTGATTAAACTAATTCCTGTGAGGTTTTCACAAGGGGATTTGTCACATTTCTTGTAACTCGGTATGATGACCGATTCACACCATTCAGTTGGAGCCTGTTCTCTCTCCCACACTGAGCCCAGGAGTTTTGTTAACTCCGAGACTAAGGCTGAGCCTCTATCGTTAAAAGTCGATGGGGACAGTCCGTCTGGGCCAGAGGCTTTATGCCTTTTTGATAACTTATTATTTCCGAGAAACCTCCATTTCAGATGGGGGACTGGCATCAACTGGGAGTATTTACCCAGTCGAGGTGGACGGTGATAGTTCAGATGTCAGTGGGGGCCAGTTGAACTGAGCCTCGAAATGTTTAACCCAACGGTCAAGACGGCGTTGCTGATTGTAAATCAGTGTGTCATCTGATTCCTTAATAACCTCACTTCCTCCTACTTTCCTGGGCCCCGTATTCCCAATCAGACGGAAAAGATTGCGACTTTTACCGATAGCCGCATAATTCTTCATCTCTACACTTTCCTATCCACCACTTCTCGCGGTCATTCCTCGGACTCTTGAGGAGCTGGCGTTAGAGGGATTTACGCGCTGTCGTATGTGGCATCCGGGGGGAGGGTTTTGTGGGCGTCCAGCAGGGCAGTCGAGGTCAACGATATGCATCGTTTGTGTTTTGAGTTTGTGGCAGGGTCCGACGTTGTCTTTATCAATATCTGCATAGCTTCCTTGATTTGCTTCCAGTGTTCATTGAGTCCTTCGACTGGTGATTGAGCTAATAGACGATCGGAGAGTTTCGCTTCGAAGGCCNGTCGGCGGCTTTCTTGCGGTTGTTTGCCAGGCGTAAGGAGAATTTGGCTCATAGCAAAGCGTGATCCGTATCCACCGATATGGTTCAGTATTGACGGGGACACATTTTTGGGAAGATAGATGGAATATCGTCCGGACCGGGTCGTTTACAAATATCCAAAGCACGAAGAATTTAACGGACCTTTCTGGTTGTTATGATAGGTAGAAATGAGTGATTGGATGGGTATGAGGAGGTTTGAACCGTATGGTCGGCAGAGAAGATGGAGTTGGAGGCAAACCGGGATGCAAAGACCTCTGCTTTTTCTTGGGTTTCACAAACAAGAGTGCCATAAGAATTGTCAATGAGAGGAAAGCTGGAAGGGTCGAAATTACGTTAAGCCGCTTAAGCGAGGGACCAGGGTATCGGTGGCTTAAGACGCCATGCGCGCAGATTTGTGACAAATGGAGCGTTCTTTGCCTCTCTGAATAGTGACCAAGCATTTGTTTCTGGCTTGCACGAAGCGGTTGCGGGATGCTGGATTGGGTGAGTGGCGCCAACGACGGAATTCTGACTTTTTATAATTTACAGCACGGTTGCAAGCATGATTAAACCACTCAGGGGATGGTGGTTTGCCGGGTTTGAAGAAGTGTGGAATATAAAGTTACATACCTTGAAGAACAATCTCCGTGAATTTTGAAACAGATTTTAAACAAAAATCCTTGCAGGGATAATAAAATAGAAATTCACGAAGACCATCCCCGTTGACTGAATCGTCACGTCATAACCTGCTTCTGGAGCAAGGTGATAAAATGGATTGAGAGAAATGAGTGAGAAACGAAATGAGACAATGGTCCGATGAGCCTTATGGGGAAAGGGAAGTGATGTTGGAGAAAGAAGAAGGAATGGATGTGAGAATGAGGTCAAGGGTGTGGGCGCTGTCCCTAATACGATCAGGGGTGTGTGTGGGGAGGCCAGATAGTTGACTTAAATTGCTGACCATAGCAAAACCTCGGCTTCGCGTCCCATGAACGTAGTGTCTGAGGAGTGCTTCAGCCATTCCTTGTTGTGGACATTGACATCTCCGACAATAGTAATTTGGCAGTTAGGATCTGCTGCCATCAGAGTCTCAATGTTGGAAGATAGAATATAAAAATAGAAGAATCGCTGCTGCTCGGGGAGCGGTAAGCAGTACGAAAATATTGGTTGAAAGAAGGGAATCGAATTTTCAGTCACATAAGCTGAAATTAACGGTTAGAGAAGTCTAATTGCGAAAGTCGGGAAGAAGCGACAGCATGATGGACATGGGCGCAGACACCAGCTTTAGAAAGAAAGGAAGAATGGAGGAAGTAATTATGGAACTGAAGATGAGTAGTGTCTGACGAGGGGGAGATTTGTGTCTCCGTCAAAATTGAAGCCCAAGGGAGAGAAGATTGGAGGAAGTGGTGTACAGAATCAACGTTTCGATTTAAACTACGGATGTTGGTGAGGGCTATGGT